TATCAAAGTTCCAGATATCATCCTCATGGATGCTATATTCTTGAATAGCCTCATGCACAATTGCAAACCACTGTTTTATCACCTTTAGATCCTCCTGCTTTGCACGCTGGTATGTAATCCTCCGGTTATATCATGTGCAAAGGGCTGGATGGCGTTTAATAAACTTATATGCCCAGTTGACACTAATGGTTGCGGTAGGATCCCGTGTACACTCATGGAGTAAGATCTGCGCCATTCCACGCAGGTACTCTGGTCAAATTGAAAAGCCCCGTTTATCTGCATCTAGCAGACGCTTGGTAAGAACTTCTTCTTCCAGGGCTGTCAATTTATGGCTATTAGCACGTGTTTCTGAGCATGGTTTTCTTCCATTAAGGCGAGCGCGAAGGGTAGGCTCAGGCACGCTAAAGGTCTCTGCAGCACACAGTACTGATTTAATTTTTTTATTCTTAATAGCTGCAATTACCATTTGTATCCGATTTTCTTGAGATAAAGGCATTTTTAATAGTAGTGGTGATAAAACAACGCGTTGAAGAAAGGAAGTGGGTGGCGTAGGGAGAAATTCGTCGCTCAGTGGTATTCGTCACTTGGTGGTTGATTATGTTATCAAAACCCTGCTTACTTAATATGCCTTATTTGAACCTTTTTTTGATATAGATTACCGCTTGCCCGATTGGGTGAACGGGATAGACCTTCCCCATTGCGATTAGATAGATTCCACTCTTTCTATGGCCAATAATCAGTCAGTTACCCCTATCTAGATGCTGGAATCTAATAGTATAAAATCTAGCTAGTCAGACAATAGGTTAGAAAAAATCATACCTTCTAAACTTTCTCATTAGTAGGCAAATTACTAGTGACAGCAAAATCCCATATGTTTCTATACTTTCTAATAGTTATAAGCCTGGCTTGCCTCCTAGATGCATAGATTTAATTATTTTTAGCACCTTAAATTAATAGTTCCTGCCTGTAAGAGCTAGATCTCACACCATAGAGATATCTTGATATTAAACTACCTAATTTAAAAGAGGTGAAGCTATATTAAACACCATCATTGCCCCTGACCTGCTAGATATAGAATATCAAGCAGAACTACTGCCCCAGGCTACTATAAAGGTTCCTATCATGCTAAGCCAGCCTGATGATTAGTAGATATAGGATTCCTATATAATTAGCCTAGCCTAAACCCATAGAGTGCTTGATATACTCTAGGGAGAGAGACCTTACCCTATTCTACTAATTTAACTAATCTATCTAATAATTCTAGCCAACTAGCAGGTGAGATCAGCCCTAGTAGAACCCTAGCCAGCCTTAGAGAGGCCCTAAATAACTAAAGTAAGCTAATTAGATAACTTATTAATTACTATAGCTACTATAAAGGCTCCAGTAAAACCTACTAAGATTAAATTAGTAATCTATATTAAAGAATTAGTAATCTATAAGGAAGATAAGAAGTAATATTAACTAGATTATTAAGGTCTTATAGCTATCTAGACTACTATAAAGTAAATAATAGCTAGAGAGTATCTCTAGTAGCTTACTAGCTAATTAGATAATAAGATTAAAAGATATTAAAAGCTTAAGGCTAACCTAAAGCCTTTAATTAAAATATAAATAAATAGAATTTAAGAAAAATATTAAAAGCTTACTACTAAGCTAGCTAATTAAAATATATTAAGTTAATTAAGTAAGTAAGAGAAGGTGCTAAGTATATATACTAAACTAGATATAATATAATATACTAGATATATAGGTATCAGGATCTTTCTTATAGTATTAAAAAAGATTAATTCCTAATATACTAGTATTTAATTAGACTATTTACTAGAGGATAGTAAGCTAAGCATCTTTAAAGAGATCTCTTATTATTAAAAATACTAGGAAAGCCTTAGTAAGAAAGAATAAACTAGTATCTTTATAACTTTTAAAGGTAAATCCTTAGATAAAATTAATTCTAATTTAATAAATTAGAATCGCGGAAGTAATAGCTAGAATAATTAATTAAATTAGGGCTAGAATAAACACCTTAAGTGTCAAGGTGCGGGCTAGTAAGTAAACAGAAGTAGGTTAATAAGGTAGTTGACACTTGGGCTGGCTACAGTGGTCTCTATCTATCTGTTTAGGCTGCAGGGCAGGCTGGTACAGGCAGGCTCTATAGATAGGATATAGCTTAAAGAGCTTTAAACAGATTTTGGAATTATACAGTGAAGATATTCCTAAGGTTACATGATTCCTCCTTAGTGATGCCAACTCCTATTCACAGCAGCACCATGACATTAAGTAAGTATAAGATAACTACCCCTATAAAGAGAAGTATCTCTTTAACTAATACCTCTATCTTATTAAATTACTACATAATAGTAATTAGAAGCTAGATATCTATATCTAGACTATATTTAATTACTTAATAAATACTACTATATATAAAGGCTTTAATAAAGAGAGCTATTAAGAGAGGTAATAAGAGAGCTAATTAGAAGGAAGAATTAAAGCTACTACTACTAATATATATAGCTATAAGCATCTTTAGGAGTATATCTAAAGTATTTATAAGCATGGGATATGATATATATAAGCTATAAGATAACTAGATTATTAATTTAGGAGCAGATATCTATATCTATAATAATCAATCCAGATTTCTTATATATGAGCTAGTAGATGATTATTAAGCCTATTTCAGCACCATAATAGTATAAATTCTTAGATATAGCAGAATTAATATATACATAACTGGAATAAAGGGCTAGATATATATCCTAGAACTAAGGGAAGTAGCTTACATATCAGAATACTATATAAGCATACTCTTAATATTTTAGATTAAAAAGTAAGGGTTTTATATAAATTAATATATAAATATTATTAAAGATTAAGAAGGAAGACTAATTTGCTAAATAGAAGAAAGATTTAATCAAGAAGTTATTAAATATAATTAAATTCTAGATGTAATAATCTTTATAATAAAGAGATATTTAGCCAGGCCATACTAATTAGAAGTAATAAGTAAGAGATGGTATTAATAGCTACTCACCTTAGAGATAAGGCTATTTTATACCTTAAAGAGTATATAATAGGTGCTAAAGTGACTAGCTATTAATATTTAATCTATAAGATATACAGATTAGTAAAAGCTAGCTAGAAGATATCTTAAATACCTAGGGAGAAGGCTACTAAACTATTCTAAATTATTTATTTTAATCTAATAGGTCTACCACTAGCCTATAATAGTGATTATTAGATTATCTACTTTATATATAAAGTAACTAAATATCACATTCTTTATACACACCTAGATAAGAAGTAGTTAAATAAGCTAATTAAGTAATTCATTACCTAAGTACAGATATAATTTAGTATTAAACTATAAAAGCTATTCTCTGATAATAAATAAATACTTAGAAATAAGTATATCCATAAGATTAATAGTAAAGGAATAAAGATATTACACTTAGTATCTTATATTAATAAGTAAAAGGGCTTTATTAAATAGGCTAGATAAATAATTATTAAGATAGCCTATAGCATGTAAATTACTACTAGAATACTAGAAAAGATATAGCTATAGCTATTCTAAACTACTATATATTTATATAATTAACAGCCCTATAAGGAGCTTGTTAAGAATAATAAAGGGAAGGAGATATAGATATAGATAATACCCTATAAGAAGCTATATAACAAGAAGCTATTAGTAGTAAATCTCTATATATATAGCTATAGGGCCTACATAACCTTCTATAAAGATAAGATTCTAAGGTTAAAGAAGCTGGATCTATAAGCCTAGATAGGCTATCTTATTAGATATATAGCTTCTAACATATAGAAGATATAGAATCTATTAAGGGGCACTATTATAGAAGAATAAGATATTACTTTTAATAAAGATAAGATATTTAACCCTTACTAGCCATTCTATGTAGCTACTATATATATATCTAATTTGCTAACACTGCCTATTAAAATTAATAAGCTTCTAGATATTAATAATTTACCTAGCTTAGTGGGTAGTATAGATAATAAGAATAAGGTGGTTAAGGCTTAAGGGGTGAATATAGTAATTAATAAAGTAAGTAAGGCTATAAGTAATAAAGCTATGTCTAAAGAGGTAGATAGTAAGACTATAGTAGAAACCCTAGAATATTAATTTACACCTCTAACCCCTAAGGCTATGCCTATCTAGAATAATTATCTAGTTAATTTAATTAAGCAAGATATTACACCACACCTAATATAGATAAACACTCAGCATGGAATCCCTAGAGGCTGGATTAATAGCCTATAGAGAGATAAGCCTATTTAATTAGATTTAATAACCCCAAGATCACCTATAAAAATCATTAATTCACCAGAGCCTAAGACACCTATAAGGCTTATAGATACACTGCCTAAGTCCCTAGATGTCACAGTGCTGCTGTGAATAGGGGTTGGCTGTAGCAGGCAGGGCCCGCTGGGTGCTCGGGCTGTCTGATCAAATTATATGGCCCTCACAAAGTCATATCCAAACTGGACACCAGCTGCCAGCCATGTGACCGTGAGAATCATTCACACACTCCTTTTATGTTTGGCCGCCGCGCCCCTAGCTAGATTTCTCCCTCAGCAATTTCTTACCGTCCAAACCTAGGTCATAGGTTTCTAAGGCTTCTAGCCTGTGACATTAGAAATCGCTCGTACAACCAGACGAATGAACCAGACAAATGAACCAGACAAACAAACCAGACGAATGAACCAGATGAACAAACCAGACGAACAAACCAGACAAACAAACCAGATGAACAAACCAGACGAACAAACCAGACAAATGAACCAGATGAACAAACCAGACAGGCGATACAGACAGCATGAACTATAATGACGCATTATCGCGGATGTCAACATCCCCTAAAGGACCTAGTGAAGAATGACTGACATAGCAGAACGACATGCAGATGAATCTCATGGCCTAAATGGCCCAGCAGTTACAGAACATCACTAATCAAATGGCTTAACTTGAGGAATAATAAATGACTGCTACCACAGCAGCACCTACCCCCCAGACAACCCCACTGGCTACCTTGGTGGAAGACCCAATGAAAAGACCTAAGCCCACACTACCTGATGTAGAGACGTATGACGGCTCTAATAAGGCTGCATACCAGACCTTTCATGCTAAGCTAAAGGCGAAGCTACTGCTTGACTGAGCTGTAATTAGTTCCTTCCATGGGTGCTTATGGTATGCATTTAGCAGACTTAAGGGAAACACTACTGCTGCTTTAGCCCCCTGGATGGATCAGTATGGGAATGATCTGAACGCGATGCAAGCGACGTTGAATAGCTTGTACAACTAACTTGATCTTATATTCCTTGACCAGGGCAGAAGTGAGAAGGCCCTGCAAGAACTACAAACTCTGCGCCAAGGCAACCGCCCATTCAACGAGCTGTTAGCAGATCTTAACCGACTGCTAATGGAAGCTAGAGGCTATTCTTGGTCTGATGAAGTAAAGAAGAACTACCTAGATGGCGCCCTGAGCTACGAAGTGGAAGGAGCACTCATAGGTGTCAGGAAGGAAGAGACCTTCGCAGACTATTGTCGCCAGGTGCAGTAAGTAGCTAACCGAGTAGAAGCTCTGCGCATAAGAGGAACAGGCCGCTCTAATTAGTGTAGAAGAAACACACAGACTACTAGCCATAGCCATGCCACCTATGTCCCCGCGCCCCTGGCGAATCCAGCCCTGGCTGTAACGAACCCCAATGATGCTATGGACTAGGAACCCTCCTCCATGACCCTAGCCCGCCAGCAGCGTCGCGCTAAATGGGTTGATGAAACTAAACTGTCCTATCGCCGCAGTGAAGGGAGATGCCTACGCTGCGGAGCATCAGATCATATGATCAAGGGTTGCCAGTACCTGAGAGCTATTCCCCTACAGGGCAAGGAACTGAAGCTACCACGCGCTTATTAAGCTGTTGGACCCTTACTTAAAAATAATGAAGTAAGCAAGTTAGAAAATAAGTCACTCCTGTAAAAAGACTCTCACAGGGGCTAGTTAAACAGTTAATGCAGCTAAAAAGCTGGCATCACCCATGCCCTAAAGAAGAAGATGTACTTGCTAGTTATAGACAGTTCTAACAAGCCGTCAGATTCAACACCCCTAAATTCATTATGTTAGGTATCATCAATAAGGAATGCAACTGTAGAATCCTTCCCAATACTGGATGTACATCTTATACAGTCATGGCTGAACGCTTCGCTCAGAAGCTACAACTAGAGCAGATTGAGATTAAACCTATTCACCTAGAAAACTACACTAGCGCAATGGGCAGTGTCATTTTAACCATTACTTGATTCTCTCTAGACATTAGTGGTAACTACCAGCACACAGTCTACGCCTATGTGGTGCCCAAGCTAGGCGAAGGCACTGATCTGATTTTGGGAATCCCATGGATGAGAGATTAAACAGCGATAGTAGAAGCAGAGGGACCCTAGCTAAGGCTTACAGACAGATTCACCGTGGAAGGCATCAAGAATGAGCCAAAACTAGTGATGAAGCAGATTAGTGCCCAGGGGTTTACAGTTCGCAGCTGGCAGCAAAGGAAAGATAAGATCATATAGGTCTTTGCTGCCAGTATTAAGGATATTAAGAAGGCCTTGTGGGTTAAGAAGTATACCAACCTAGCTACAAAGCTACCAGTGCATTACCACAAGTTCCTAGAAGTATTTGACAGGAAGAAGGCTGACGAGCTACCACCACACCGTCCTGGAGTCGATCATCGAATTAAGCTAGTCAAGGATGAGAAAGGGAGGCTAATGGAGCCACCATGGGGACTATTATATAGCATGTCACACAGAGAACTCTTAGTGCTACAGAAAATATTGACAGAACTATTAGATAAGGGCTTTATTCATGCTAGCAGCTCTGCAGCTGTAGCACCCATGCTCTTTACTCATAAGCCAGGGGGCGGGCTATGATTCTGCATTAATTACCGCGCCCTGAACGCAATCATGAAGAAAGATCGATATCCACTTCCCTTGATTAATGAGACCCTGGAACGCATCGTGAAGGCAAAGTGGTTCACTAAGCTAGATGTCATTACTGCTTTCCATAAGATCCATATCACCCCAGGAGATGAATGGTTGACAGCCTTCCGCACACAATTCAGCCTGTTTAAATGGCTGGTCACCCCCTTCAGCATGGCAAATGCACCTAGTACCTTCCAACAGTACATTAATTAGACTCTCCAAGACTTCCTAGACGAATTCACCTCCACGTACATTGATGATGTGCTAATTTTCACTGATAGGTCACTGGCAAAGCACTAGCAACACATCCGCTAAGTACTTGAATGTTTAAAGAACACAGGGTTATAACTGGACATTAATAAGTGCGAGTTTGAGGTGAAAAGCACAAAGTACCTCAGGTTCATAATAGAGGCTGGTAAGGGCGTGCGGATGGACCCTAATAAGGTGAGGGCTATACTAGAATAGCAGGCCCCTACCTCTGCATGTGGTGTACAATCATTCCTGGGCTTTGTGAACTTCTATCACCAGTTTATACAGAACTTCTCAGACATAGCACGACCATTGACAGTGCTAACATACAAGGGAGCCCCCTTTGTATAGGGAGATGAGCAGACTAAGGCCTTTGAGTGGCTAAAGAAGATGTTTACTATAGCCCTAATTCTCATGTAGTTCAACCCCGACAGGGAGACAGTAGTAGAAATAGATGCATCAAACTGGGCGACAGGAGCTACTATGTTGCAATATAATGATGATGGTGTACTGAGGCTAGTTGCATATATCTCTAGGAAGAATATGCCAGCAGAGTGTAATTATGAGATACATGACAAGGAGCTATTAGCCATCATTAACACTCTTAAGGAATAGGAATCAGAACTAATCAGTCTGCTATGATTTAAGCTCATCACAGACCACCACAACCTTAAGTACTTTAAGACAGTCCGCAGGCTCAATAAACAGCAGATGCATTGGTCACACTGGTTAAGCTAATTCAACTATGAGATGCACTATTAGCCTGGGAAATTAGCCACTCGGCCTGATGCTCTGTCATAAAGGGAGCAAGACATGCTGCAGGACATGGAAGATAACAGACTTAAGGCACGCGATCACTGCTTAGTGCCACTACAGGCTATTGCTAGTCAGATGTGTCATTACATGATCTCACATACCACCCCTGCTGATGAACCACTGCTGCTGCTAGAAGAACACTGGGAGGAGGCCCAACTGCATGACACTGATCTGAATGAAATGCGTAAGGTGTTAGAGGAAGGAGCCACGCGCTTCCCTAGTAAGCTACACATACAGGTGTTGATTGCTGAATGTTTAATATCACTAGATGGCCACCTATTATATCGAAGTCGCAAATGGGTTCCTAATTCAGAATTAATATGAACAAGGATACTACAAGAGACGCACGACTTAGTGCTCACTGGCCACCCTAGGAAGAACACACTGTACATAATAGTCACCCAAAACTTCTACTGGCCAGAGCTTTCCGCAGACATCTGATGATTCGTGCAGAACTGTGATAAGTGTGGTGCTAATTATATATAGCGTGAGTGACGCCAGGGTCTGCTAAAGCTGCTGCTAATCCCAGATCATAAATGGCGCGAGATTGCCATTGACTTCATCACGAAGCTGCCCATGTCCGATGGTTGTGAGGACATAATGGTGATTGGTGATAGGCTTGGTAAAGGCATGGTCCTGGTGCCCTGTAAACAAATAGATTCAGAGACAGTAGCACAGTTATTAATTAATTAATTTATTAGCTACCATGGCATTCCCAGCACAATCACATCAGACCGCGGTCTATAGTTTGTTAGCTAATTCTGGGAGCACTTCTGCAAGCGGCTAGGCATTAAGCAATAGCTCTTAACAGCCTTCCATCTGCAGACGGACGGGCAGATTAAATGAATGAATGCTACACTAGAAGCCTACCTATAGAACTTCTGCAACTATGCTCAGACTAACTGGAAGTCATTATTACTGATGGCCCAGCTTGCTCTTAATAGTTGAGATGCTGTAAGCACAGGAGTCAGTCCGTTCTTCCTAGATCATGGATATAACATCGAACTGTTAGAAGTCGAACTACTAGATTGGGAAGCCACCGCCGTGGACGCAGCCCGCTCACTAAAGGAGAGGGCCGAGGCAATCATGATGAAGATGAGGGAAGCTACTAATATGGCCCAGTCAGAGCTCGCTGCTGCCCAACAGCGTTAAGAAGAATATTCAAACTGCTCCTGCTTAGCAGCCCCACGCTACGCTGTTAATTCAAAAGTATGGTTAGACCTGCGGAATGTTCGGACAGATCGCCCAAGCTGGAAGCTCAACATGCAGTATGTGAAGTTCACAGTGCTGGAGGCTATTGGGTTGCATGCTTACTAACTAGACACACCACCAGGTATATATAATGTGTTTCATGTTAGCCTCCTGCAGCCCGCCATGAACGACCCATTCCTGAGCCAGTTGAATGATGATTACCAGCCGCCCCCTAAGCTAGTTAATGGCGAGGCTGAATACGCAGTCAAAGAGATCTTGGAGGAATGTGAGAAGTAAATCAGGTGAGGCCGCCGCACAGAGTACTTGGTCAAATGGCTAGGCTACAAACACCCTACATGGGAGCCTGCTGTTAACCTCGCCGACACAGCAGCACTCAACGCCTGGGAGAGCCGCCACCCCGGAAGGGAAGGGGGGGGAGTAGTGTAGCAGGCAGGGCCCGCTGGGTGCTCAGGCTGTCTAATTGAATTATACGGCCCTCGCGAAGTCATATCCAAACTAGACACCAGCTGCCGGCCACGTGACCACAAGAACCATTCACACACTCCTTTTATGTTTGGCCGCCGCGCCCCTAGCTAGATTTCTCCCTCAGTGATTTCTTACCGTCCAAACCTAGGTCATAGGTTTCTAAGGCTTCTAGCCCGTGACATTGGCATTGCTAAGGAGGAATCACATGACCTTAGGAATATCTTCACTGCATAATTCCAAAATCTATTTAAAGCTCTTTAAGCTACATCCTGTCTATAGAGCCTACCTATACCAGTCTATCTGCAGCCTGGGACTGTTAGATAAGGATTAGTAAAGCTAGCCTAAGTATTAACTACCTCTTTAACCCATCCTTGCCTACCTATAAGTCTACACCTTAATATTACATAGCTCCCCCCTTAGAGTTAACACTGTCAGAATGCCTACCCCTCTGCCCCCATTCCTGCTGGGTGCCCCTAAAGAGTTCTCTGAGTATATTACTAGCCATAGCACTAAATAATATGAATACTGCCACCTAGTATATAAGTATATTTAGAAAGCTAAATTAACTATTAATAAAGCAAACTAATAAGCTAAATAATCTGAGGCCTAATTCCTGGAACTCTAGCATGAATTTACTGCCTTAGAGCAGAGGTGTGAATAAGAGACTGCTGAACTAAGGGCTGTCCTATAGTACTAGAAGGAATAGCTATAAGAGAAGGAATAGTAATATATAAAGGCTGCTATAGAAAGGGACTAAGCTCATTACTTAGCTACCCCTACTGTAAATATACCTATATCTACACCTATGCATGAGCCCATTACTAAGAAGCCTGTAGTTACTCTAGTAGGAGTGCCTATATTAGCTACTACCCTATCTTCTAAAGCTACTAGATTATTAGAATAACTCTCTAACCCTGATAAGTTTAAAGGTAACTAAAAGGACCTTTAGCACTTCATAGCACAGATTTAAGAGAAAATAAATATTAACCTTAACTACTTCCTAACACCACAGAGCTAGATAGCTTATGTGAATAACCACCTAAAGGGTGTGCTATACACCTAGATTCTCCCTTATATTAAGAAGGGAATCTGCACCCTTAATAACTACTAAGACATCCTGGATATCCTAGAGTGCGCCTTTAGTGACCCTAACCATGTGAATAATGCCTGTAATAAGCTATTCAGCCTGCATCAGACTAATAAAGAGTTTAGCACCTTCTTCACTAAATTCTAATGCCTAGCCCTGGAAGGTGAGATGCCTAAAGAGACCCTGTCTACCCTGCTTAAACAGGCTATTAGTCATAAACTCTAAAGCATGCTCATGTATAACCAGCCTCTAAGCCAGGAGTATTACTAGTTTACTAGATTCCTATAGGAGCTTAAGAACCACCACTGCTAGTATACCATAAACCAGCCTCCTATTATTAAAACCTATACTATTACTGCCAGACCTGCTTAACACCCCTAGTCATCCTAGAGCCCTGGCCCTGTTACTGCTAAGTCTACTAAGCAACCCTGGCACCCTGCTGTTCAGAGGAATAAGCATATGTCAGTGTAATAATACAACCCCATGGACCTAGGCACTACCTAACGCCTGATGAGAAGGGGATATAGCCCCTCCTACTGTGAGATAGGCACCTACTTCCACTGTGGTTCCCTAGAACACTAGATTAGGGACTGCCCCTATCCTAATACCTGCTAAAGGGTTCAGATTATGGCCTCTTATAAACCATGCCCGGAGAGTCCCCAGAGAGGATGGATTCTAGAATCTAGAAGCCTATCTCTAAGCCAGACCTCCTTAGTAAAAGGAGTGAGCCTAGAGTAAGCTGTAACCAGGCTTAGAATCTATATATTATTTAAATATCTGCCACCACTATTTATAGACTAGACCTTGAGGAGTAAATATAATAATTAAAGGCTATAATACTACCCATGACCTTAGAGAAGAAGGAGAAGAAGATAAAGTTACTAACTTATGCCCTATTAGATACTAGAGCTAAAGGATGAGGATTTATTAATAAAGGATAGGCTGAAGACCAGAAGCTAGAGCCCATCCCTCTAGAAGACCTAATAACCCTATATATATTTGATGGAAGAGAACCAGAGAATGGGAAGATAACCTACTATGTCTAGATGGATATAAGAATTAAGGACCACTATAAGAAAGATATAAGGTTCTACATTATCTAGTTAGCACACTACCCTGTTATGCTAGGAATACCTTAGATAAAGGTATATAACCCCCTGATATAATTTGCAGCCCACAGCATTATATTTAATAGTGACTACTACTAGAAACACTATAACACCCCCTAGAAGCTAACCAAGATACAAGCCCTGCATGACATTCCCCCAAAAACCTAGCCTAAATACCTGCCCCTGAGACTAAAGGGACTAGAGAAGAGAGATATAGCCTTTATCTCCTTAGTAGCCTGTTTAGCTTATGCCTGAAGAAATACTCAGATATTCATAATAACCCTAGAAGATCTTAAAGCTGCCCTAAAGATTAAGGAAGCTTAAAAGAAGGACTCTGCTAACCTACTACCTAAAGAATTTAAGGACTATACTAATATTTTCTCCCCTAAGGAGGCTGAGCACCTGCTACTACACTACCCCTATAACCATAATATTAAGTTATTAGAGGGAAAGACCCTCCTGTTTAGCCCCCTGTATGCCATGTCCTAAGAAGAATTAAAGGTCCTAAAGGAATGGATTAAAGAAAATCTGAGGAAGGGCTTTATCCACCCTAGTTCTTTACCTACTGTGTCACCTATCTTATTTATTAAAAAGCCAGGTGGAGGCATATAAATCTATGTTAATTACCAGGCCCTAAATACTATAACTATTAAGGATTAATACCCACTGCCCCTGACAAAGGAAACCCTGAATAACCTAAAAGAGATGAAATATTTCACAAAGATTAATATCATCTTAGTATTTAATAATATCCATATTAAGAAAGGACAAGAATACCTAATAGCTTTCCATACCTAACTAGGCCTGTTTAAGTCCCTAGTAATGCCCTTTAGGCTAACAGGAGCACCTGCAACCTTTTAGTAATTTATTAATAATACCCTATAAGATTACCTTAATATCTTCTACACTACCTATCTTAATAATATCCTGGTTTATAGCAAGACCTATACTAAGCATATAACCCATGTCTGCTCCATCCTGCAGAAACTATGAGAAGCTAGCCTATATATGAAGATCTAGAAATATGAGTTCATTATCCCTGAAACCAAGTTCCTAGGTATTATCATTAGCTAGGATAGCATCTACATAGACCCTGATAAGGTGAAAATAATTATTAACTAGCAAGTTCTGACCTGTGTTACTAATATTCAGGCCTTTATTAGTTTTAGCAACTTTTACCAGTAATTTATCAAGGATTTCTCAAAGATTATTGCTCCCTTGGTGAACCTAACTAGGAAGGATGTCCTATTTATATGGATCACAACCTATAAATTAAGCTTTAAAGCCCTGAAGAAGGCATTTATGAACACCCTAATCTTAAAATCATTTAACTAGACAAGAGATATTATGGTTAAGACTAACTCTTCTGATTATATATCTACTAGTATAATATCCTAGTATAATAATAAAGGAGTCCTGCACCCTGTTACATTCTTCTCTAAGAAGCTTTCTATCACTGAATGTAACTATGAAATCTATGATAAGGAGTTGCTTGCCATCATCCACTATTTTAAAGAATAGTACCCTGAACTAGAGGGTATACTATTACTAATTAAGGTTATAACTGATTACTGCAACCTAGAATATTTCATATCTACTAAGCTACTTAATAGACAATAAGCCCACTAGTCTAAATTCCTATCCCACTTCAACTTTAAAATTATGTATTAACCTAGGAAGCAAGGAGTTAAGCCTAATACTCTGACTAGGAGGTTAAAAGATCTCCTTAAAGAGGGGGATAAATAGCTATAACACCAGAGCCAGCTAATTCTGAAGAAAGAGAACCTTAACCCTGAAATTTAGAACTCAGTAAAACTAGAAGCTATTATAAGGAGCTAGACTAACCAAAACCTAACTAGAAATAGCTAGTTAGCTATAAGAAGAGTTCGCTTTGCAGACCTAGTAGCCTGAGTTATTAGAATAACTAAGGAACCCACTAGAGTGCCTGCCTGACTAGCTTAGATAGTTCAACCAGACTAACCAGACTAACCAGACTAACTGGACCAGCTAAACCAGCTAGGCGAGCCAGACAGATTAGACAAGCTAGATGAACCAGATGAACCAGAGCCCCCTCCCAGTATTAAGGAACTACTAGATACTGCCTACTAGTTAGATAATACTATACAGTCTATCCTGCAAGCACTAGATGAGAATGCTAGTTAATACCCTAAGATCACCCTAGCTAATTGCAGATGATGAGGAAGCTATCTATACTATTATAAATACTTATACATCCCTAACCATGATGAGCTAAGAGCCTAGTTATTATAAGAATACCATGACAAGCCTGCTGCTAGACACCCTAGAAAGTATAAGTTATATAAGTTAATAGCACAAGAATACTACTAGCCTGGTATATACTGATATATTAATTACTAGACCCAAAACTGCCATATCTGTTGCTAATCTACCCTATCTTATGAAGCCTGCTAAGGAGTGCTATGCCTACTCCTAGTACCTAAATAATCATAGCAAGATATCTTAATGGACTTTATCACTAGTCTAGTACCTAGTCAAGGCTATAATGCTATACTAGTTATTATTAATTAACTCACAAAGATGAGGCACTTTATCCCCTGCTAGACTACCTGCGATGCTAAAGGTGTAGCCTAATT